AACCAGAAATAAATAAAATTTTAATTTTTGAAATTTATCTTAGTTTCCAGAAAGAAATCTATAACCGAGATTTGAACTCCTAACCTTCAGATTCATAGCCCAACCACTAACCCACTAAGCCATCTAGTCGAAGTTGCTGGTCAGGCTTCGAAATTGAACTTTATAGCAGGTCGCAATTCATGCAAATTCAAACAATGACTTTCGACGTTGAGCGGTTTGAACCAGCGATTCACTAGATGGCTTGGTGGTCAAGACATCAGACTACTGGATAGGAAGGTAAGGGTTCAAATCTCACTGTAACCAATATTTCTTTCCTTTCACAGGTTAATGTATGTACTGACTTTAATTTCACAGGGTTCTAAAGCTGGCGCGCAATATAAAACTGTAAACAAATGATAAACAAATAAACTCAAATAAACTAAACTCAATAAACAGAAACGATAAACTATAAACTAATCACCATAACAATAACACAAAATCCATTCTTTAAACTGCAAATCATTGAACACTAAAACTTTGAAAAATAAAAAAATTGAAAACATAAACAATCTTAAATCAATGTAAAGTAAAAGTTCTAAATGTTTCGACAAGTTTTTCAGATATTTTTTTTTTAGATGCATCTCAGCAAACTACTGCTTACTTGAAAAATCAGTCTTATAGTTTGCACACCAGCTCTTTCAATATATCATTTCATGGGACTATTAAGACCAACTGCCAACTCCCCTACAAAAGCATGTCCATTTTMCTGTTATACCAAAAATTTGCACCAGAAGGGGTCAGAACATTATTCCAAAATAAACAATTCAATTCAATACAAAATTCGAGAAGATACAGGTTGCTTTGCAAACTATTATATAATGGACATCCTTTCAAATATGTTCAGGTATAGCCAGCTTTATAGTCTGATATTAGRTTTTAAGTTTCCTGTTACCAGAGGCTTCCACAGTTGATCCTGGCAAGAAAATAGTCAATTTCAATTATATCACACCAAGAGCATTCAAAACAACATCGTAAGACCAATAAATTTATTATTAATTCATAAATTCTCTGCCGAATCGACTGTGAAAGCCCTGTTGGATTCCCTTTGATGTCATTAAACCATCACACCCCCAGTTTCCCTTGTTTATTAAGAGGTTGAGTCCATTTTGTTTAATGATAGGCCCTGTTGTGGTCATCCATGGGATCATTAGCATTGAAAGGATCTCCTGTAGGACAGGGTGTCAAATGGACTTCTCACATTTAAAGACACAGAGTGACTAGATCATTAAAGTTTTCACAGTTAAATCCAAGACCAGAACTTTTGYGCCAATGTAGTGTTTTATGACAACGAATTCAAAACACCAAGAAGGAAAATTTACTTAGAAGAGTTACATGTTACTTAGACGCATACATAATGTTCCAAAAATTGTGTCAAAAATTTTGTCTTTGCAGGTTACAACCATTTGTCACCCTTTCCTGAAGCCTACATAGCTCTTTTGGGGAAAGGACATGAGAAAAAGGACGTGCCGCTGGCCAGGGTATGGTTTTTGGCCTTGCTGTCTTAAACAGGGTATACATTTCACCCGAAATTGTCTTAAGCAGGCTCTACAATTTTGATAAAAGACAGAGATAATTTTTTTGTGTGTCTTGGACAGGGTAATATTTTCGTAAGAAATACTGTAGAAATAGTAGAAATAACGTTTCACTGTAACAGGATTAACGTGTTGTCAGTATAACTACAGTTTTGATGGTTGCGGCGTAGATACCGATTCCTTATTTTTTTTCCAATTTGTCTTGAACAGGGTATGGATTTTTACTTTYTAGTGTCTTAAACAGGGTCAGGGTTTCAGACCGCTGGCGGCACGTACCTATCCAAAACGGGGTCGAGTACCCCCCCGGGAGCTGTACAGTTTACTCTATGTCGACCCTGTGCTTGCTCTAATACACTGTCAGACACATGTATTCATCACATTGAAAACAAACAGAGTGACAACATTCAGCCTGTGAACTATTGGTTCATAGTAAAATTTTGATCAATAAACATAACATCATGAAAGAAGACAATATAATCAATAAAATATAGTCGTGGTATTCTATTTGAGATTATGTGTGCAAAAGAAATATCTGTTTCACAGGCTTGAATGTCCCCATTCTGTAYAATCAAAACTATATCATATTACTCACTCCACTTAGACACTTAACAATTACCAAGCAATTAGTACAAGCACTTTAGAAGAACAAGACAGTGTTTTATATCTTAAACTGCATGCATAGATGCCTTTAGAAGAAGATTTTTCTAATTCTGTTTCAGCTGCTGAAATAAAAAGGAACAATGTCTTAGCAAAGAACCACACCCTTTAACATGATGCGCTACACCTTGCCTGTGSTGATTTCTTATTTCTYGTTTCATTCAAAGCTCAGCAAGCCTAATAAAGACAACTATCTTTAATAAACCTCTCAATTCAATAGACTGAAATAGTARCCAAAATAATTTCATGCAACACAAAATAATGATGAGCTACGTAATGCATATATAAATGTAACGTTGCAATAATCAACACAGAATTTATAAAATACTGATCAAATTGCCATTTTAGGATATATCTTAGACAATGGTATCCTAATGATAATTGGTTTTATATTACTAAAAGGAGAAATGCAAGAAGGAGCAAGAGAGTGTGGCATGCCTCATAAATCTCAGAAACTTTGTTATGAAATGCATAAGAAAAATAAATTAAACAATTTTTAGCTGTTTGCTTTGCCCCCCACCCTGACTTTTTTCTTTTCCTTGGTTTTCSCTATRCTCCTGATCACCACCATAATCATTTTACAGATATACCAGTCTCATAAATTGCTGGTTATAGACCCTACATAGGATTTCCTAATGCTGATGACAATCTTATTCTTTAGTGCTTACCGAGGTATTCTGGTCCAACTTGGGCTTCTGCAACACTGTTGGAAGACATACAACAAAATGCAACTTTATAAAAAATATAAACATAACATATAAAAAGGAAAAATGTAAGCAAACCCCTCTTGAAAATACAGGGAGTGTGTGTTATGCCGTCATTCTTTTAATAACACATGTACTTTGCCTTTGCCAAGTTATAAACCTTAATTTATTTAAGTATTTATATAGAGCTTGTAATTGGAACCTTTACTTCTAATGTATTCTTCATATAGGAGTCTTTTAATATAAAGTGATATTAGCTTAACGCGTCTACCACGTGAGACACTTCTTGAACTTTGTTTAAATTTCCCGCGAAGAAAATGCGATTTAAAAAGCGCAAAATAAGTTTAAATTGTCTTAATTTTCGTTCGTAAACCTTAAATAAGATRCAGGCAAAACAGTAAATSGAATAAATTAAAATAAAATTTTACCTTAGCAGTTTTGGAGCGTCAAATACCTCTTGATCGCATGAAATGTTGGAATCTTGTCGATTTCACACCCTAGATGTTGTAACCTGGCCACATTGCAATAAATTATCGCCCATATTTGGGCATTTCGTGCAAAAAAATCGATCTACATTTTTGTTCGCACTTTTTTATGTTCATTTCAAAAAGATAGAGAAAAGTTCTGTAAAGTTATAATTTGACGCTTTCTCTTCAAAAAATAATTCAATTTTTTTTCTTATTGGGTTCCCTGTGTTCCTAATTTACATATTCAAATAAAATGTTTTCAAGAAGGAAGTTAATTAATATACTGTTCTGCAGGGATTCTATAATCAGGTTAAAAATACTTTTATAATGATTATAATATTAATAATAGTAATGTTTTCAATTCATTCTTTTATTTAGACAAGTGTTGTCTCAAATTACAGTAGCTGCACCGGCCAGTCCTCTAAACTACCTTGTTCTCAACATCAAAGATAGCAATCCTTTATACCCACTGATGAACAGTCAAGTCATTAAGCCTTCTCAACATTACAACCTGAGATCATGTGGGAAAAAGTACACTGACACTAAGTCCACTAATCGTGTTGTAAATATCTGTTGAATTGTCAATTTATTAGTTTATTATTATTGACCTGCACTTACCTGTAATTCAGTTATACTGCGAAGGGTATGATTAAACTTATTGATTATTATTATTAGTGATAAGCGCAGGGATGACGGAGCAGTTTTAAAAGTGGGGGGGGGGCTAGTGTTGGTCACAGATGTATGAGCGCCAAAGGCGTGAGCCTCTAGGGGGGTCCGGGGCATGCCTCCCCGGGAAATTTTGAAATTGAGAACGCCAGAGATGGGATTTCCAATCGCAAAGTTAACTAACTTACACGGAAAAATCTCATTTTTGTAAAAAGTGGGGGGGCTAAAGCCCCCCCAGCTCCGCCGTCCCTGAAGGGATGCTATGATGGGTCACCAATCACACAGCCAATACATGATGATAAAAAAAATAAATGAATCAATAAAATAAAAAAATGAATCAATAAAAAACACAACAAACAAACCAAACAATGTTTAATGGTTTTGGGTAATGATGGAATTCCCCTCGTCTGCTGGCCTTGGCTTATACTCCATATACATACTGATACAAAACACAGAGGCACTTCTTGACTACAAATTTTTTTATTTCATTTTACCTTGATAGGTCTATGTACAGAAAATTACACTACAATTTTACATTGTCAAATACATMATTCAGATAAGCTATTCACAGTCAGTGAGACTAAGTACGTATTTCCAAGCAAAAAAATCTGGGAACGAATTTTAAGATGAGGGGTAAGTTTTCTCATGRCCCCATAACTCGAAATATACCTGAATGGTTTTGTTTGCTCTTAAATTGATACCGATTATTTTTCGTGCCAGGTCTCTGTACATAAATACCAAAATATCCTACAAATATATAACGCTGTGGTGAATACATTGTAGCCTGCGTAAAGTTCGGTTTATTTTCAAAATTAACTGGCGGTGTCTATGGGTATACGCGCGAAAACGCTGAATAAAACTCATGCAGGCTAATCCACATTGTTACGCACGATCACGTGAAGAAACCTGGCGTTCAATATAAATACTTATTAAAAATGTACAATTGATTGACGARGTCTAGTCCACACTGTTACGTTTTCGCAGCGTCTTGTGGTACTTTTACGCAAGACAAGAGTCGAAAACCCTGAAGTAAACGCAGTGTGGAAATTCCCTTCCATCAGTGCATGCCTCTTCCTACGTACTGAGTAGGACTAATCGGCCAACGCGTTGCTATAAACGTTTCCTCCCAATACAAACCACCCGGAAGTAAGTATCATTGTTCGTTTCAATTTTATTTCACAGCTGAATTCTTAGAAGTTCTTTTTCTCGCAGGATTTGAATTGGGTGGTAACGCACATGGAAACGCGTTATTATTATTAGCTGATTAGGTCTATTGGCGATTGTCATAAATGAAAATTGAATGGGAAAGACAGCAAGGTCTCCGCACTGCTTAACTTTCTCTTTTGTACGACTAATGCTCCTTTCCCCACATACACATCCCCACTCATGTATTGGTTAGATTTTCCGTTTTCTCTGTCATTCGTGTTTTTTTTATCATGTAGCCGCCATATCAAAGTTCTTTTAAACTCAATTATCTGTGAAACACTAACAAATTGTACAAATTCMACAATAGTAGACTTTGCACTAGTGTCCACGATGTTTTTAGCAAGTTGTTTCACTGATACGYTGTAACGCGTTCTATTTCCTAAGCTTTTCCAACATTATATAATCAAACCCGCGGCGGCCTTTRGCCCTATGTCAGAAGGTGTTGCTAGGCTTCGCTAGAGACGACCTATTGCGCCGACTCAGATACAAATACAGACACGGGTTAATAGCACAATTAGAATGAGCCAGCCATATACAGGTCAGCGGAATATAGATGGAAGTACARTAAAATAGGTCCTTTCGAAAGGCTGCGACGAATGAGATCACGTGAACAGGGAACCAACACAAAGCGAACACGACGACAATAGTCATAAGTTTCTTGACAGAATTCCGTCTTTGYTCGTGTACTTTTCTCTCGATGTCATCACTTGCGTACCCAGCGAAATTGCGCCTCCACAAATACCTTATTATAATACCATACAGGACAACCATAGCACAGAGAGGRAAGCCATAGTTAAGAACAAACTTGACAATAGTATCGATTTTTATTGCTTTGTTGCCCCATGTTGTACCATCTTGRAGACATAAAAGTTCCCCTYGAGCTGATTTCAGGACTCTAAATCGGTGATAATCACTTGAAAAGACCATTCCTGCTATTATCCAAATCAGAGCAATCGAGAATTTAACAGTTCGCTGCGAAAGGGAYCGTTTAGCTCTGTGCGCAATCGCAAAGTAWCGATCCACCGCAATCGCAGCAAACGTGAATCCAGAAGCAGTTATGGATAAATTCATACCAAAGTACATGGTCTTGCAAAGAAGTTGGCCAAACAGACCAGGAAACCATCGCAGTTTGATGTAAAAGTACACGATATTACAAGGTACCCCGAGAACCGCGTCTAAGATGTCTGCAACTGCCATGTTTACAATTAATCGATCAAACGACCTCTGCATCTTGTTGCGTGAAGCTGCGTAACGGATGACCATTACGTTTGCTATCAGAGACACCACAATGACTGCGCAGTAAGCAATTGTAAGTACAACCACAAAAGGACGGCTCAGAGGCCCAAATGAACAGCCAAATAATGGAGCAGACGTGGTAGGTGTGAAGTTAGTGGACGTAGAGTTTAGAGGAGTCATTGTTAAAGATGGCATAGTAAGAAACTGAAAAAGAAATGAAAATTAGATCATTTTAAATGCCTTACTTTAAGCACTGTCTTAAGAAATTAAAGAATTGTTTCATTTYATTTGTTTCATTTTAGAATCCACCGTGCGCTTTTTAAGCGATATCAGTTTGAAGTATTGAAAATCACTATATTTGAATTAAATCAAATCCCCCACAGTTAAACATCAGACCCTCTTCAAGAGATGATCGAACTGCACTAAGGTTGTCTTTGTTATACGCTAAGAAAGCGATCAAGTGTTCTAAAAGCATCATGACAAGCAGTGAAGAAGGTTTGATCACAAATTCGAGTGRAATGGGAAAAATACTCTAAAAAGAGATACATATCTGATAATATTCTCAATTGAAAAAGTCTTTTAGCTACAGGTACGAGAGTCCCTACAAATGAACTGTCCATCAATAAAATCATTTTGCTGTTTGTCTCAATTGTGAGAAAGTCATTGAAATGTTCGTACGTGGACGTGTTTAAAGGAAGCCAATAACATGCCTGACAGGAACCCATTCAAATGCTCATCTAAACGAGCACGCAAATGAAAATGTCCATCAATTCAAATAATGGTCCATTTCAGTCTCAGTTTTCCTTATCGAAAAAGCCATTTAAGCGTTTTTATAAATTCAGAGGAAGCCATTCAAATGCTCACCTATAMAAGACCATCACGCAAATGAAATGTCCATCATTTGAAATAATGCTATAGTTCTGTCTCATTCGAAGAAGCTATTTATATGTTTTTGTAAGAAACTCAGAAGAAGCCATTCAAATGCTCAATTAAAGAAAGCTAATCAAATGTCCARCACATCGAACAAAATGTTAAAGATTAGAGCAAAGCATCAAAAGGAGAGAGAAAATAYGATGTTGGAAACTCTTTTATATCTATCCGAAAGAAAAAGAAAAAAATAGATTAACCACAAAGAAAACAACTTGTCAGATTTCCAAGTGGCTTTTAACTYCCATCAATCTATAGTGATCTTTCTGAAGAGTGAAAAGACTTAAGAGAACACTTGTCTAAAATGGAACATTTCATCAATACGAGAGGGTAGAAAGACAACAATATCGACATGGTTGTTTTTGACATTACAGATAAWGCATAAGTTGGTATTGGACCACGATTCTCAATAAACTTTAACGTTTTTAATGGTGAAWAGAGACAGCAAATATAATTGCTCGTTTAAGCGGACAATATAATGTGCAGATGTTCACTGAGAAAAATAATCCACTTCAATATCCCGTATAATTCATGAAAAAACATTATATTTGTAATTATATTTTGTTKCATTTATTTTGATTTATAGTGTAAATAAAGTCTTTCTACTGATTATCAAAATAAGAGGAAAAGGTATAAAATACTGGAAATGGAAGTTACTGATTAGAAAAAAGTTAAACTAAAACAAAAGAATACCAAAAACTGCAACACAGGATCAGTATCCATTTCAACGGAATGAACAGTTCTACGTGCACGTAATTCTTTTTACTCTAATTCTCGTCTTAAATCCCCTGTATCCTTCTTTTTAGTGCACTTAGAGCAGATTTTTTAAATCGATTATTATTCTTGTMAATATGCACGAAACTCTACTAGCACGGGACCATCAAATATCTATGTGAAGGCGAAGGAATAAGTCTTATTCTGTACCCTTAGGATGTAAAAGAAGAAGCGACAATACAATTGAAAGCAGSTGAYCCCWCTAAGTAGARTCCCCCTCTTTGGCTCATGAAGATTTGATCTTGAAAGCTGTTAAGTATGGACTGCCCTAGCAATAAACGTCATTCGTCAAAGTTGCTATAGCAACAAAGATGGCAGGAATTTTTCTAATCGTCAAAAAAGTGTTTTAGTTACAGCGTAGGTGTGGGAAGACAACTCTTCTTATAAACAAGCAAAACATGCAAAACTTGAGCCACACTTCTGGGGTTTTGTAAAAAATTGAATGTTAAGTGGCTGGTCTTGAGATAATGGTGTAGGTGTGKGAAAAAAAACTCTGCGTTTGATTTGAAACAAGAAAGATACAYGGAMKGAAAGCACGTATCAGTTCGGGGTGAATCCAAGGGTTGACGAATGTTAGCTAGATTACATAAATATCTCTCATGCACACTTTCCCTTACAATTGTATCAACTTCCAAGCAATTACTCACCAAATATAAGTAGCTTTTGCCTTAATTAAAGTTCTCAAAGCTTTACCAAAAGTAGTTCAAGCTTCTTTCCAAATTTATGATTGTTTGAGCATAAATTGATCATCAAAAAGAAAAMAAAAATCTGTCCTTGGAGTAAATATTCCCGAAAACTACATTGACGAAATCCTCTTTGTATCTTAATAACATACAGGAACCTGAATGATTCTGCATGTTTACAGATGGCATATATACAAGTTATCTCGATTTCAATTGGACCAAACCCCAGTACTTTATCAAGTGGCGATCTCCAGCTATATATAAAAACACCCTATTACTTCTCAAATTTGACTGGCTAACGCTCAAGTGCTTAATTTTGGTACTTTATTTTGTAGCCTACATTGTTAAGTCAACAAACGTCACTTGAGGTTGAGCTGAGTAGCACTGTACGTGTTTGAACAATGGATATACCCCAATCAGTTCATTAAAGCTGTTAAAGCTTTCCTGTTGCTTGACTGTTTCTTACGAGTCATTACGTTGCTCTGGAAATTACTTTMTAAGATTTGGGAAGTAGCTATTATGGTCTAAGGCTATTTCTTTTTCGAGATGTTCCTCAGGCGTTTGGAATAATTATAAAAGGATTCAGTTTTAAGYTGTTACTGAGGTCAAAAATTCCCTTGGATTCAAGACTAGTTCTAAGAAGAAAACGGAACTATACGTTACGAAAAATATATGTCTTTAGCAGAAGTACATGTACTTCTGGTCTTTAGAGTTGGTAAAACCAGTTTTTTTTATAAGGAAACCCCACAGGGAACCCCAACTGTTGCAAATAAATAATTAAATAAATAAACGTAAATGGGCAAAATTAATAATTAAATGGTCAGATTTTACTTTTTTGTATCGCACATATRGAAGGCAAGAAATATAAATGAAATTGATGAACATAGTAACATTGACTTAATGCTTAAAGTGCTACTTGCATGAAAATGGCCTTATTTCAAAACTTCAAGCAACACAAATATAGTGACTCATTTATATCTATTAAAAACAATTGCGGGAAAATATTTGTCTTGGCATTATCTCACATCAGAGAAATTTTGATTCAAAAGATGGAAGAACAAAAGGATTGAGTAGATGACGTCATCTACTCCAACATTTTTGCCCAAATTATTAAGGATTTGCATGAATATTTTTCTTGAAATCTGTTGCTTCATGATTATTACACCCATATGGATAGGTCTATTTGATTTCCAAGTCTTTTCTAATGTTTCGCAATTTTCGTCCAATTAGCCCTTTAAAATGAAAAATGTATTGAAAATGAATGAATGTGTAAGGGAAGAATACGTCGTACGTGACGTACAAACCTACTTTAAAAACTTAATTGAAACCAATTTTTCCTTCATTTKGGATCAGACAGCGCGTATCAAAATACAACTCGTTCGTGCAGTCAATCACATGAGCTAAGCCCATATGGCAGAATAYGTAGCTYGAATTAGCCTTTAAGCTTTTCGTAAAGATCTATTAGCATAAGTTGCGCCGACCCTTGAGGCTRCATTATTCTTGGTACCTAACAAATACTGAAAAAGCCCTCTTTACCGCGCTAACAGCTTACATAAGTTCCTCGRATCCAGATCTAAGTAGGTAATAAACCTTTCTGCCGGAAATCAACATTTTACCGAAAGCCCCTACGAATAGTAATGTACCAAATACCCTGTAGCTATAGCATTGATTCTGAATAGCTTAAATCATAGTCGATTTTAATGCGTCTATTTTGCGGTGACAAAAATAATAAAAAAATTGTCAAAACTGTTCTTGCTTTTCTTTCGGCTACTCTCGTTGTAATTTTTATTTTCATTACTGCTGTTGCTAATGTCATTATTGTAGTTACTTGTTTTTGCCACTGTAGTTGTCAAAGATACTTTTTTGCAGTTGAACTTTTTCAGAGATACCTAAATACTTTCTAACTCAAACCAGCAAAGGTTTATATAATCAGAATTAAAATTAGCGCGTATTAAGTCATTTACGAACTAAGTCTGAATCACTGTATCGATTGCATCATGTAATACTTCACATGGTTTAGCAATATGCATAAATTATGATTATTTTCACTCATATTCCAAGTATGTACGAAATATGTCAGAAATTATGATCATTTTGACTTATATCCCAAGTATATACGAAATATATCAGAAATTATGGGATATCATCGCCAATATTTTTTTAAGAAAGTGCCAGTGCTACGCAACTTCAAAAAATATCAGCGATGATATCCTATAATTTCTGATATAGGTTATATATACCTTGAAATATGAGTCAAAATGGTCATAACTTCTGAATATTGCTGTATTTTCTCGGCTAAATAAGATTGCATATTTTGTTTAATTTAAACATTTTTCCAGTCTATTAATAAATAAGATGTTTGACTTTAAACTATCATTTATATTTCTTAACGGTTAGAATTTCATCAAATATATTATGTATTTGAAAACGTACGACAGCCTTCAACTACGTTTCGCGCGCTTTTTCCCTTTGAGTCAACCGACTTGTCTCTCAGACATATCTTCCGAGTTTTGTCACTTTGTCACAAAGCGTTTTAAGATACCGTTGTTAGCTTTTTCATAATCTATAAGATTGATTTTATCGTCTAACTTTATTTTATCTCACGGAAAAAAACGCTGTTTTCAAATGCTATCTGCGTTTTTTATCAATATGTCTCTAAATATTCTTTTTTCCTTGTTGTATTTATAGCTAAACGACATGCTAGTTAAATATGATCCTGTCAAATCACCTTTATCAAAGCGAACCGAACGGGACTTTTGCCCTCTGATGATGTTCATAAAAGATCGTTTATTTCCGTGATATATGCCTAGATATAGACTA